CACACTAGTAGCTGTCAAAGCCCAAATTCAAGATCAGATCAGCCTCTACCCCACTATACTGTCTTCATTTACTTCGTTTTAAAATTGCAAGCCCTAAGGGCTGGCCAGTTAGCTTAGTTGGTTAGAGCACAGGTGGGCATAGTAACACCAAGGTCAAGGGTTCAGATCTCTGTACCAGCCAGCCCCAGTACTCCTTAGCAAACTTCCCCACTTCATTTTCTGCATAGTTCCTATGCCCTTTAGTAAGGAATTTACTGCCAGATCCTTCCCTACCCACGTGGAATGTAAATCCATGTGGGCAGTAATTTTTTAATTTGGCCACTGCTATATCCCCTCAATGCCTAGAACAATGTCTGACACATAGCAGGTACTCAATAAACATTTTGGCCAAAACAAATTAATTTGGGCAAAAATTCTCATCAGCTATTTTCAACTGTCCCTTCTACTAGATTGTAAATATAACAGCATTTTTATTCATCTCAATCCCCACTACCCTTCACTCTGTCCCCAAGTCTCAAATGATACTTTGAACATAATAAAATATTACCAGGTTTTGGAATGTGTTTGGGGTTAGGGTGGTCTGTTGTCTGGGGAATTCACTCTCCTCTCCGCTCCCTACGAACAGGCACTTAGTGGAAAAGCATCTTAGGAAGGCTGGAGAATGTTTGGCACTTCCTCATCTCACCCCTGCTCCCCGATGCTGATGGACAGGCCAGCTGAACAGCCTGGTGCAAAGGTACCCTGCTTTGCTCGTTTGCTGCTGTGCTTCTGACTCACATCTTCCCTGGGCTCTTCCCTGGGCTGTGGGAAAGCTTTCAGTACATGGCCTCGCAAACTCTGCTGAGCAGCAGGCTGAGCGGGCGGTTGGAAATGATACGGATAAAAAGGATCTAATTAAGCAGAGTAGGTGATAGTGTCGGGAAGAAAAAGCAAGCAAGTGGCAATTTGGATATCTGCCTGTAAATAAAAGAGATGACTGTTGTTTTCTCCTCTGGCTCCCGTTTGCCCTATAAATCTCAGTTCACTAATCCAAGTGTTTTAATTATCACTGTATAATACAACATGCTGTGTTGGGCCTATCGTGGGGAAATTAAAACGGAGAGTGGCGGAGGGATTCAGGCTACCCCATTCTCCCATTTCTCTTGTTTATACTAATCTGAAGGTGTTTTTCCCCCTTCTGCCATAAACACCACATGGGGTTTTCCAGCATCAAATGTATTACCTTCTCCCATTCACAAAAAGGAACTTCAGGCCCTGAGCGTGCAACTCAAGGGCCAGCAGTCATCTTGGCCACTCTTTATACTTAATCCCCCCAAAATCAAAAGAACCAGGTCATGAATTAAATGCCAGGTCCAGCTTCAAAAGGAGAATCCCCAGTGGAAAACAGCATGATAATTAAGACTAGCATCTGAATAGCACCTCTACTACCTACCAGCTGTGGCTCCTTGGGCAATTCACTTAACCTCTCTGAGCCTCATACTTCAAATAAAATATAGTCATAACAGGATTAAATATTAAATAAAAATATAAAGCACTTAACACACTGTCTGACACAGTAAGTGCTATGCAACACATTCCTACCTCCTGGCATTTATTTATTTATTTATTTTGTCCTTTTTGAGACTGGCCGCACCGAGCTCAGCCAGTGAGCGCTGTGAGCGCACTGGTCATCCCTATATAGGATCCGAACCCGCGGCAGGAGTGCGACCGCGCGCCGCACCCTCCCAAGTGCACCACGGGCTCGGCCCTACCTCCTGGCATTTATCTTGCCGTTCCAACTGCCTACAGCAAGCTTCCTCCAGAAAGCTGCATGGTTCACTCCTTCCCTTCTATCTTATCAGGGAGCCTTCCTTCCACCCTCGACAAAATACTAGCCTCTCCACCCACACACTGCATCTCCCCTTACACTCCATAACACAAAGCACTGTGACATTTTATATATATATATATATACATATATATATATATATACACACACACACACACACACACACACAGACATATACATATGTAGACATATATTTACATATATAATATCTATTTATTTAATTAGGGGAGTCTCCTTTACCTAAAAAGGTAAACTCCAAAAAGGCAGAGCTTTTCTTTTGTTAACTGCTGTATCTCCAACACCTATAACAGTGGTGCCTGGAAAGTAATGGATGTTTAATAAATATTAACAAAATGAATAAACAGAAGCTATTTTTCCCATAATGGCGGAAAGGGCCATCAGAGACTACAGGCCAAAGTTCTTCAAAGGCCAGGAAACTGAGACCAGGAGACATCAGATGACCTGCCCTCTGGTTCCTGCTTCCTCAGAACTGAGTGGTTATGGCCGGGGACCCTGACTCTTGGTGGCTTTGCTCTGCTTTGAGCCAGCCGACTCAGTACCCACACACCGATTTAGCAGGTGGGACCCCTGAGATCCTCTGAGGAATGGAAAAAAGCAGATGGTTCTCCCTCCCATGTGCTGGGGACCTGGATGCCCCAGTGACTGGTATTCTATAAAAGCAAAAAGGACAGGTGGAGATACTGGAGCCCACTTTGGAAATCCATCAACAAATGTGCTCAGAGTTGAGGAACTGCAGACAGCTGCAGCACGAAAGAGCCAAAGGCCACTACATTTCTCTCTCAAAATCCACCAGCAACAAGGACCCTCTTAGCTTTCTGCACTGACCGAAGGCAAGCAACTGCAGTCCCATTTCTCGGGCGCCTGGATGACTTCCTCTTACACAGATACAGGGGACCCTGTGGGGAGAAATGCTAAGCCCAGCTCCACCATTCCTATGTGAACAACGTCCCTAGGTACCAACTTTTTATCTCTTGGGGTCAAATGAGAAAAAACATGCACAGCACCTGGCACATAGCAGGCACGCGACAGCATTAACTGTTACACGAGTACATGATACCACTAACGTTAAATATCAAACACCCACCCCATCCTTCTCACCAGCTCTTACCAGTGTCCCCTAGAGCTGGGAATCTGAATCCAGGGCCTTACAGAGGACCAGGGCTACTCAGCCTTCGGAACTGAGTGTCAGGTAATTTCTTAAAGGACCCTATTTTCTCATTAGAGTGGAAAGAACTCAGATGCCACACCAGGCCCCAAGCCACTCATCTGGTGGGAAAAGAGACTCCAGCCTGAGAGCATCAGCCACCCTAGTTTTTACTCCCAGAAAGTAGTGTCCAGCCCAGAGTTCCCTGGATGGTGAGGTGACAAAAGACCCCCCAAAATAGCCTGTGCTCCCTGCTCACCAGCTGTCCCCCCAAAACAATCATACTTAAAGTATTAAAGAGAGACATCACCAGTAATCAGAATGTGGTAACTAAATGAGTCCTGTGTCTTCCACTCACTGTGTGAGCTGGTCCAGTTCTGCAACCTCTCTGAGCCTGTTTCCTCATCTGTATAAAAGAGAAAATAGCAACGTCTGTTTCATGGGGCTATTGAAAGGATTAAGTGAGAGGATTCGGCTCAGCACAGTGCCTGGAACATTAGCTGCTGCTTTTAATATTCAAGAAGCCCAGTGTAGCCAATGCCGGAATAAGCATTAATTGCTCCAAAAGAACACTCTGTACAGCAAAAGCAGTTCTTTCCTGGACCACAGACCAGACCCGACCACTCTGCCATGGGCCACAGGTTGGGAGCAAACATGAACTCCAGAAATATTACAAAGCAAAGGGGGTGGGAGGAGAAGTAAGGGTGAAGAAAGGCACAGGTGAAATCGAGACCCAAACAGCTCCTGAAAAGGAGGTGCCCAGCTGGAAGTGGGCAAGGGGATGTTCCCCATGAAATAACTTGGATTTGTTTTGAACTTCCCAGTGGAAACTGCCACTTTAGACGACTTGGGAATTCTAGGATGTTCCGACAGCAATATGGCACACTGATTACAAACATAAGCTCTGGGGTGACCTAAACCTGAAGTGGGGTGTTCCAAGAGCCCCCAAGGGGCTCCTGGGGCTGGTGGCTTTCGCCTCCTGACGTAACCTCCCCGAGCCTCGGCGTCCCAGACCCGGTGGCGCGCGCTCAGGCGCTTCCCAGACCCGGCGTGGCGCACCCCGCCCGCGGTTCCCGTTCATTCCAGGAGCGAAGAGCGGCCTTCTTCTGCTGCAGCTGCTGAGAAAAGTCAGAAGACAGCAACTGGAACGCGAGCGGGAGCGCGACGGGGCGGGG